TCATCTATGAACGACTGCCAGGTAGAAGTGTCTTCACGGCGTAAAAAGACTCTTTTGCTTCGAAAGCCTGGCCTCGAAGGCCTCGTAGGTCTTCTGCTTTTTACCATCTCCTGCAGGACCAGCAAATACGTGGCGTGCACCAACAAGCGTCTCTTTCTGTGATCCTGTGGAAAAGGGAAAAGAGTGTAAAAAAATGTTGAAAAGCGTGAAGAAAAGCGCGCACACACAAGCGTCTCTTCTGTGATCCTGTGGAAAAGGGAAAAGAGCGTAAAAACACGTTGAAAAGCGTAAAGAAAGGCGTGCACACACAAGCGTCTCTCTCTGTGATCCTGTGGAAAAGGGAAAAAGAGCGTAAAAAGACGTTAAAAATCGTAAAGAAAGGCGTGCACACACAAGCGTCTCTTTCTGTGATCCTGTGGACAAGGGAAAAGAGCGTAAAAGAACGTTAAACAGCGTAAAGAAAGGCGTGCGCACACAAGCGTCTCTTTCTGTGATCCTGTGGAAAAGGGAAAAGAGCATAAAAAGACGTTAAAAAGCGTAAAGAAAGGCGTGCACACACAAGCGTCTCCCTCTGTGATCCTGTGGAAAAGGGGAAAAGAGCGTAAAGAAGGCGTAAAGAAAGGCTCTGGGGCTCTGGCTCACACACGCACCTCACGCACATCCGATTGGGAAAGTCTCGCGCTCGCTGTCCAAGCCCTCCCCTGGAACCTTGTCTGGAAACTGCTCTGAAGCCTGTCCAAAACTTGGGAGCCTCACCCCAAACCTTCTCGACAGCCTCCTGGCAGAAGCTGCTCGGAACCTCCTCAAGAACCTGCGCTTCGGACCGTGGCCCCAAACATCCTCTTCCGAAACCTTCTCCGGAACTGCTCCGGAGCCTTCTCCAGAACCTCGTCCGGAACCTGCTCCGACCTGCTCCAGAACCTTCGCCGGAACCTGCTCCAGAACCTTCTCCGGTTCTTCTCCGCTGCCTCTTCGGGACCAGCTCCGTGCTCCGAGCCTGCTTCCGAAGTCTTTACTGTGGCAGAAAACCCCTTAGCTTCGCTGTTGCGAAACAAGTGTGAAAAGGCGAAAAAATAACGTAAAGAAAGGCGTGCGCAGGCGTTTCTCTCTGTGAGCCTGTGGAGCTAGGAAAAAAAGTGTTCCGAAGCGTCTTTCCTTGCCCTCTTCTGGAAAAGGGGAAAAAGAGCAAAAAAACGTAAAAAAACCGCCAAAAAGCGTAATGAAAGGTGTGCAGAAGCGTCTCTCCCCCTGTCACTGTTGAGAAGGGAAACATAGCGTAAGAGGGCGTAAAAAAGCGTAAAGAAAGGCGCGTCTGTTTCTGCGGTGATGTGAAAAGGTCACTCAAAAATGATTAAAAGCGTAAAGAAAGGCACGCAGAAGCGTCACTCTGGTCCTTTGGCTACCAACTCATATTGTTAACACGGCTAAGTTAAGGATGTTCTTCGTTTGGTTCAGCCTCTTTGTCGTCCGCTGGCTTCTCTGCCATCTCCTCGAGACTGTTGCCGTCACTGAGAATACTCTAGAGTAGCCACAACTGCCGATTGCAGACTTCTTACAGGCTTCCTCCATCTAAATTTAGACCCAAGTCTGGGCGTGTCCTTGGGCTTCACATGTGCATCAGCAGGCGTCGGCATTGCTCTCTTTCCACGCAAGTGACACCTATTTAGTTACACTTTGTTTAATATCTATCTGAAAAACATCGAAATTTTCAGATCAACTTACAATCTAGATGCTTCTGTGTAAGACATAAGAAATCACTGATCTAGATGCTTCTGTGTAAGACATAAGAAATCACTGAGAAATGATCCATCGGTGAGACCGGGTGAAACCTCAACAGTCGCGGTCAGTGTCACACGTCACACAGCCTCTAAACCCAACAGCAACCAAGTAACGTCTCTGTCGGACCTTACCCCTTAGTCTTTGTCAAACATAACATCTCGTTTCTGTCGTGTATATGGAAAATCTTGTCGATTACCGTGCAAATCTTGTCGGGAAAAGAACACGTGTTCGCGTCATCATGCGTCATCCTGATTCATCCAAGAACCCATTCCCCAGGGTTCTTTTGAGCAATCCCAATTGGAATCAAGCCAAGAAAAAGCAATCTCTATAGAATTGCGGGTCATGACATCCAAAATCATACAAATCATTCTCTATAGAATCGGTATGCCCAAGTCATCCAAAATCCCTTCACTATACTTACAAGCCTCTATAGAATCAAGGTTGTAAAAAACAACAATTCTCTATAAAATCGAGGCTCTTGAAGGACAGGACTTTACAAGCTCCATATGAGCCAAGAAAAAGTGGCTAAAAACATGGTCTTATCGGGGACCCAACCCCCGCGATTCTATAGAGGAAATTCCATCCCCTATACTTACACCATAGACACTGAGAATGAAAACCCGTGATGGACCATTTTCCGAAGACCAACCCGGTGGTTTTGGGGGTCCATGTGGTCCTCTGCAGAGGAGTACCAAAGCTGGAGGACCTCCAGAGCCTTCCAGTCGGAGAGAATATCCGTTCCCCAGTACGCCACCACATTCTTGTACCCAGTTTTTGACAAGATATTTCACCAGAGTGGACAAGGCCATGTCATTTCTGGAAAAAACTGGACCAAGCTGGAATCGTTCTTCAATCCAACAGCCCAACAGCTCGAATATTAGCTGGAATATCACCTGGTGGTTTTGACTTCTGGCAAATGACAAGAGCCCAGAGAATGACCAGATCCCAGACGTGTTCATTGTGAATCTGCTTCAAATATCTTCTATCCGCGCATATTGAGTAAACCTGATCACATAGCAGGTCCAAAAACACATGGGTCGAAACCTGGAGGCCCTGGTGGAAACCTGGAGCCCACGGCCAAAGAGTTCTTCTGGTTGTCAAAACATGTTTTGAGAGGAAGGATGTTCTTGAGTTGCTTTTCTGCTCTGCGAAACTGGTGGAGGTGAGTTCTGGGAGTGTCGTGGTGTGGTATGGTTGATGTAACCTTTTAGCCTGGTGAGATGGCCAGAAGCGATGTGAACCTACTCTTCATGGGCAAAATCCTTTTAAAAAAGCCTCCAAGTGAAGGAGGAGAGGAGTTAAGACACATGATTGGAGTGAGTAAGGACCCTTAGAAGTTGCCCGTCCGTTGTGTTTTTGCCACGAGTTGTGCAAATAAATGCGCTTGGAGTTGTGAAATGCGCCCCACTTGACCGCATGTACCTGGGGCCTCAAACCCCAAAAACAGGCGATAGTCGATAGGTTTGCAAGATGAATCCATCCTCCAACCCGAGCTGGAATAGTATCCGAGTCAAAGGAGAGTGGAAAAGCACTAGAACAGAAGAAAAATTGACATGGGAGACAGCAAACTCTTGATCTGCACCATTTAGCAAGCAACTTTCATGTAAATTGACACATGAAGAAGACACTGTATCAAGTCAGCAAGGAACCAAAGCTTAAATGTTAAAGGCGACGCGTGATTTGCAGCGGTGTTCAGCTTGTGTCTGTTGCCGTGCTTTGTGGTCAATGTGTTGCGCAAATCCTTTTTCACCGTCCCTCCAAACGGGTTGGTGCCGGTCCAAACGGGTTGCGTGGCCATGTCCGCTTCGGCTGCACAGATTGGTCGGATGCGATGTGTGGGGGATGCGATGTGTGGTAGGTGGATGTGATGCTTTGGGGGGTCGGGTGGGTGGAGGGTGACGTTCGTGGTGACCTTCGTTGTGACTGGCAACCACATGATGTTGCGAGATGGAAGTTACTCCGGGACACAGCATTTTTTGGGGGGAGGTGTTTTCTATGTCTGCTGTATAAATTTAGTTCAGTCTTTTCGTGGGCACGTTTCGCTTTGGCCCAGAAGCTTCTGGTTGAAAGATTCTTGAGTACCGGGCAAAGAAACGAGCTCTTGGACCTCATTCCACGAGGTTTCTATAAACGAACGCTGATTCGCTTTGCAAAAAGGACGCTGAAAACATCACTCCAACAACAATGATTCGCAACATACCCACACAAAAACCCATCAGGTCTCCGCAAAAAACCACCACCTTATCCAAATCCATCAACAGCTCTGGGTGGCCTCCTCATTCACCCCATCCAATGAACTCCAAAGAAAAATCGGACAAATACAGTAATACCATGTAATACCCAAGCTCTCCATGGGACTGACAGCATATGTATCCGCCTTGGGTTTGAGGGATCAATGCAGGCAAATAGTCCGGTCCCATGCAGTGTCAGGAATACCATGATCTCAAGGAAACAGGTCGTGTCCTGCAACTTCACCATGCTCCAACCCGCGACTTCACCCTGCTCCGCTGGGTGACAGGCGTGTCCCATGACCTCCCCCTCCGGCCTGGTTGAACTGGCCTTGGGCTCGCGGCCGAAGGAAGGGTTCTGCCAACAAAAGCACGCAATGGCAAGACTCCCAGGTGGGTTCTTTCCGAAACATCCAGCAGACCTACGGCTCAAGATCCACTTCAAGAACACCACCGCTCCCAGAACACCATGCTCCAAAGGTCACCATGCTCAAGTTGCGCCGCCACGACGCCAAGCTCGATGCTCCGCTTGGCTCGTGGAAGCGGAAGTTGACTACTGACTACGGGGCGCTCTGGCTTCGGCCCAGTGGAAGCCTGAAAATCACTGGTTGGTGCTTTCACTCCAGGGATCCATCCAACAGTCCCTCGCTGGGCACCAGGTCCACGTCGGTCTGAAGATCTCCCCCCCCCCAGACGAATCCGGATTCGGGTGCCTCACGCGCTCACGGGACCCGCTTGGGCCGGGCGGGGAGGCTCTTTTTTTCGCCGAGAGAGTAGGGGCGGGCGCCTCACGTGTCGGCGGAGATCAACTGGGCAGCTCCAATTTTGGGGCTCAAGTTGCGAACGTCAAGATTGAGAAATTCCATGCAGGGTAGTGCCTGCTTAAGTAACCAGCGGGACGTTTGTTTCGCCGTCGCACGTGGTGAAAAAGTTGGCTGGCACAACTGCTGAGTGTGGACTTCTACTTGATTTCAATTGAGCTCTAGAATCAATCTGACCAGTCACAGCAGCTGTGCAGCATGTGCAACACATTTGCGATTTGAAGATGTACAGTTTAACTCAAAAATAGCACCGGCTTTGCCAGTGGAAAAAGACCGAGCAGCTTGCCGCGGAAGAAAAGGCCCGGCGCACCGAAAGACCTGCATCAATCTTCTTCTGCCCATAACCTGAGATTTGCCGCGGAGACCCACAAATTCGGCCACACAGGTGTGTCTTGTCATGCAATTTTCTAGGGAGTTCTGCCAGGCCCGGCATGGGAGAACCCTTCTTCCAGCGGGTCTTTTTGCGGTCTCCCCAAGAAATGAATGCACCACATGTTCAGTTCATCATGCCTGGCAGTACACGAATTGGACGTGTCACCACATGAAGGATCCAATTCATGGTCCCCTGGGTCGCACCTGGTCTCATCGTCTCATGGCTTGGGTCTGGCTTCGGTTGACCGGTCGCCCTGGTGGCCCTGGTGGCCCTGACCCGGCCAAAACAGGGTGTTTCCGACGTGCGCTTTGGACTTCGGGGCATCGGTGTGAGAAACGCCGAAGGTGAGTACTTGGACTTTGAGGTTTCAAAAAAGATCCTGAAAGTAGAAGTCTTGGGCAGCCGCTCAAGGAAACAACGTCTTGTCACAAACATTCCTCGACATTCCAAATATATGCCTGTGAGGAAGAAACATGAAGAAACTGAGGAAGAAACAAGACCTGCTAGAATTGATAAAATCCACCAGACCTGCTAAGACGAGCCTCAGCGAATGATCGACCATCATCGACCCAAAGTGGCCCACGATCAACGGGCGCTTTTTCGGGCACGACAACGACGACCAAACAGTAACCGAAGACGGTCGCGGTGTGACGTCAACCTCCAGACCTCCAGATTTGAAGCAAGAACCCTTCACTAGGGAAACTTGAGGCCGAGGGTTGGTGACGAAAGCTAGCAGGGCAGGGGTGAAGCTAGCCTCGGGCTGGTGCTAGCTTTCGTGATTTTGGGAAAAAGAACGGACGGATGGAAACCGCTCAGCCTTCAACAGAGTGGTTGGGCCAGGCCAGCGGTAGGTGTCTTTCATTGTGTGTCAGTCCCTCTGAACAAGCGGCTACCAGGGGCAATGTAGCGCCGCAGAAACCCCTCTAGCAGTGTGACAGTGTGACACACCTGAGCTCCCTAAATTGCAGATTCCTTCATGATTTATGAACTGATTCTCATCTGCGATGTCTGGGACCTTTTCATCAGAGGGCTTTAGTGTTCAATGTACCTTCAGGAGTCTTCAGGTATCTCCTACCATGTAACCCCAACAAAATCCCACACGAATCCCTCACCGTCGGAACAATCCCCACGACCGACGACCGAGATCCTGACCCATCCATAGATCCCGGCCACTGCAAGAGTTGATCCTCTGAGTGTGATGCAGAGAGCAGAGCAATGACTTTCTCATGAGATCCCCTGCGATTCACGGACACGGCCAGGTCCAAGGCAGACTTCCCCGTCGAGGTCTTCTGTTCCGGGTCCACCCCGTTGAGCAAGAAGAAGCACGCGGCTCGATCATCTCCTGAAGTCGATCACCGGAGTCTTCAAGGTGTGCGAAAAGCACCAAAAAGCAAAGCTCGGGGTGTCGGGATGTCTATGATTCATGCAGGGACTCAAGTTGCAGCAAACCCAATAGGTATGGTTTGGGCTTCCCGATTGGTCGTTTCCACCAAGGTCAGACGCCGAGGCTCCCAAGTGCGCCGCCACATGGATGGGTTGCCAAAGCTCCTCGAAGGGAACGTTGGAGTTGAGATCCTCCAGGTGCTGCTGTAAGGCCCCGCAAATCCGCATCTCCTCAAACACCTCAGCTGCGTCTCGCATCGCTGCTTTCAGCTGCGAGCTATAGTTCGAAGTGATGGAGTAGCAACGACTCTTGGGTGGATGGTGTCGGCTGAAGACTATATATATATATATGGAGGAAAACAAGCATTACTTTGCAGGGGTCACAAGGATCGAACCTGTCCGGATATCGATCAGTTGGGAGGAAGGTTGACTGGGCCCGCAAACACCGCGGGGAACTCACACCTGCCTCTGGAGGGTGTTGGCACCGGTTGGAGCTGGAGGCATTTGGGGCAAAAAGGAATCCAAAAAGGAAGCCCAAAGGAAGCCCAGCTCTAAACATGTGTCTCGGGCCATGTGTGTTTCATTCACCATCCACATCCCACCATCACATCCCACCGCACCGCACCTGTGGGTGGAGAGGTACGGGTGTCAAGAAGGGACGAACGTCTGGTACGGGGCCAGATACTCCCAGATACTGTGGGGCCAAGGGGGGGGTCCATGTGGTTTCATGCATAGGTTCTAAAGTCCGAAAGCTTCGTTTGAAAAGAGAGCTGAAGCTCTAGTTCAAACGGGTGTGGCTATGGGGATGTCTTTCAAGACTCTAGTACTCTGGTGAGCAACCAAGAAGGGAAGACTCAACAACCAGTCGAACTTTGACTAGTTCATGAATGATCTTTCAAAATGATGGCTTCAGTTGTTGAAGAACCTGAGAAATCACCAGGTGATCACCAGGACTTCTGCCCCTCTTGGACCGAGGTGCCACGTTGCAGGTCCGCCTCAAATGCCTTGTTCGGCCCATTGTGATGAAGGGACTTTGAGGGACTGCAGATCCAACTGGTGAGCATGACTCGGCATGATAATCATCCTGCGCCGATGGCGTCACGCCGAGACCGAGACGGGCGGGAAGCGTCGGCATATGGATCACAGGTGGCAGAGATCTAGAGGTTGCTCTAGATCTTTGAGATGGGTTCAAACATACCAAAAAGATCCAAAAAGGCAAATTAAATCAAATTAATATATCTTATATTACAAAATGTCAAAGATTGTCAAAGTGTGCGTCAACTTTTTGTGGGGGACGAAGCAAAGAACCAGCACTACTCTTGGGTCATGTGGCTCACGCGGGCAACCTCAGACAGTTCTGTTCCATCCTTTACACTGTCTAAGTGGAGCAATGTCGTCTGAGGCTCAGAGAAACCACCAGATCCTGCGACATCCTCTAGTCGAGTGCATCAAACACCCGTCAACACCTCAGTTTTGCTCACCTACCTGGCCCAGTCAAAGACTGGGCATCTCATACCGCTCGCTGCGGAGTCGGAGTCCCGTCGTGACTGGTCTTCCCGACGCGGCTCCGGCTCCACCGAGCGGCCGGCAGGTCCTCAGAGTCATCCGGTAGCAAGGCCGAGGCACCTTCGGCGGTCGGTGGCGGTCGGTGGCGGTGTGGCAACGAACTAAACATCTGGATACATCTGGCATGTTCTGCGAAAAGGAGGCTGATTTGGGTCTGGGGGGTTGTCCTTTTCCCGATAAAGACGAGGTTTGGGACTGTCAACGGAAGGAAGAGTTCTCTTGCATGAGGCACATGGTGGGGTATGCCAGTTCTCTCCAGGCTTTGTATCGGCTGACTCTTGAACCACTGCATTGCCATGCCACCAACAGAGGAGCGCCACCAAAGTTACTGCAGCTGCAGATTTACTACCGCTTCGGAAGAGAAGGTACATATGCCGCCGCTTGGGTGTGGGCATGTTGACAAAAAATACTACTCTCTTGATGAACACCTACAAAAGGAAGAGAGAGGTCACAACCATTCACAACTATTCTCTAATGCGGTTTGGAGTGTGGCTGTCCAGGGGGTATATAAACCCATCCACAATCACTAAAACCACCATCAAAAGCCAGAGGCTGCAACAATGCAGGACTTCTCTGCAAATGGCCAGTCTATCCACCACCACGTCAATGTCGACCCCCATCTACTATTTCTCCATGGTTAGCCAGGAAAATCGGGCCTTCCATCTATCAACCAGCTGATTGGTTCTGCATGGGATCTTCCATCATGTCACGTCCATCAATGGGTTTAAGGAAACATCTAGAGGAAACCCTTGTGTTCACTTCCCATGCCATCCAAGCCAATTCTGGGACGTTGCCAAAGGCGCCACAGTTCAAAGCCTCTGGCTTTCGTGGACATGGGATCTCAAAGGCTCCAATCGGCATGGCGGCTGTCGAAGGCTCCCACCGACCACGACCCCCTGGGCGCGGCTGGAGCCCGTGGTGTTCCGGCAGCGAACTCATGATGAATCATGATGAATCCGTTGCGGCATGTCCTCTAAGTTGGACACACACCAAAATGGACGAAGCCTTTAACGAGAATGACCCAAGCAGTATCCCACGCATCTGGTCGCTCATCAGAAACCAACCGAGTGCTTCACTTCTACTTCGACTTGGACGCTATGATCGGTCTCCGGGGAAGAGCTGCTTTGTCCAAGCAGAAACAAACGCACAGGGTCGGTAAACCGCAAAACGACCCTTTGCAAGTGTCTGTTTAAACATATTTTGACCTATATTTTAGAGCTGTTGAAGGAAATCAAGTCCTTTCCTCAACAGCCAGTCAACATATCACCAACATCTCTCTGCATCTTGCCCTACCGCTTCACCGAATGGCTCCTACGGCCGAGGACTCCGCGGCGGCGGTGGGAAGCTCGGCGCCGGGCCGTCATACTGAAAGGCACTGGGGAGAGCACCTGAGCACTCTGAAAGCCCCAAGAACGACCAGCCCCTGACCAGAATGAAACCCATCAAATTAACTCGCCTCAGGTCACTAGCGCGGGTCGACTTCTGGCAGCACTGTCCAGTTGCCGTGCTGGTAAGCCCAAAAGGGAATGTGAATGATTGGTCATTCATGGTCATTGGTCTTCTTTCGCATCTGAAATGAGCCAAGTCCGTCCTTTCTGCCCACGGGTATGCCGGCTCAGTGGCCACACACTGAGCATCCCACTGGAGTAACGACATGAAAACATCAATGATCCAAATCTGTTGAATTCTTTTAGAATCTTAGTTGATGTACCCAGAACCTGTGTCTATGCAGTCTACCGGTGAAGACCCAAGGTCGGTTTGGATTCACGTCGACGCCAAGGATTCCAACCGCAGGACACTCTGAACTCCACGCTCCATCTCTCCCTGCGAGGACAAAGGGCACGCCGGACACTCAAACATCTCAAGTCACCCAAACAGTCGGACCAGTCGACGGACTTAGGTTTCAGAAGATTTCGAATACATGTAGACCATTTGAGTTCTTCACCAGCCACCCGCCTCCATCTTCCCTCACTTGGTCCCCTTCGGCCATCGCCCCTGCTCCGCCCGCCCGACGAGTTCGGCACCGTGCTCCGCGTGCGAAGCGAAGCACCTCGCTCGACGTCCGTCGATGTCACATCCCCGATCTGGACCAACGACGGGAGTTCCGGGGGGGGGGAACTCGCTCTTGATTTGTTATTTAAGGTGTGTTTTTGGGAGAATGAAGCGAAGGCAAGATCTTGCAAGATAAGGATCCAGTACAAGTGGTTGGAGTCGTATGGGTCGTACACATGGTTCACACTCTTACCACTGCGATCCATTCTTCATGCTTGACCCAGTCCCAAGCCGGAAGCTTCCACCAGTCCCAAGCAGCCGATCTGAGATCATGTGGAGTTCGAAATGCTTGGAGTTGGGATTACTCAGAAGTTCCATGACTTCTGACATGGATCTTGATCTCACTTCGAGTTCGATCCTTGGGATCACTTTGGAGTTCGACGCCGGGAGCCTGGTGATCGAAATGCATGGACATGCATGGACTGTTTCTCGACGATTGATCTGTTGACCCTCGTCCCAGCTGCTCAGCTGCGCCGAACGAATTAAAGAGGTGTTGAAAAGCATCGGAACGGTCGAGGTAGAGGAGTTCGATGGAGTTAGAATACATGGTTGGAACACAATGGAACTTACTCTCCCGCAAACTAACATGGAACCTGAGAATTTGACCGGTATAAGACCATTTTCCTCTACAACCCAGTGGTTTTGGGGTTCCAAGTCAATCTGCAGTGAAGTAGTTCCTCCACTTGCAGCTCCCGTTGGCTTCGCCTGGCAAGGCTCAGGTTCACCATCGGCCTCCGCACCTGGCAGGCTTAAACGGGGGCTTCGGTCCGGGTTCACGGCCAACGAGGCCCAAAGCCACAGAAGATGAGTTGTGTGGGATTGCGCGAATCACACGATACAGGAGCCAAGGTATGCTATTTTGCAGTATCATGCACAATAGAACAGGCAAGGTGTCTAGAGTCTCCAATTGACCGAGAAACCAGGGTTTTTCCTCCTTGAGCTGTTGTCTTTTTCTCCAGATTTCTGGGGCAGATCTTTGCGGGCCAGCCGCTGGTGAGATCGCCCATCCAGACCGGAACATCCCGGGAACATCGTCTCGTCTACCTCAGGTCGACCTTGCTTCTTTCCAGGAACATGGAGGTCTCGGGAACTTCTTCAAACCCTTTTCTAGCAGTTCAGTCGAGACGGGAGAGAAAAACACCCGATCTTGACGTCCGAAGCGGAAGGGATGGAAGGAGCTGTGGATTGGAAGGAAGTCGCTTCCTCTCGCCTGCCGTGAAACCCCCGCCTGCACCGACCGGGCGGCCCCTGGGACCGCCAACCGGCCCCGTCAGCTCGGAGTGGTTGGAACGGGCTCGAGCGTTGGTGGTCCAATTGGTGCTTCTTCCTTTCGAAACGTTCGGCTCAAGAAAAGGACAGATACAATCAGAGAATAGGGAATGTTCAATAATTCACTCACAGACTGCAGAAGAAACGTGCTCGCGTGCTTGGCGGACTAACATACTTTCCCTTTCAAGTAAGGTTGACATGGCTTGAGATCAATGTGCCACTTGGCTTGGTGTTTTTTCTGTAGGACTTCTGAAGCTCGATAGATACTATATAAATCTTCTTATTACTTGAGAACGTCTTACGTTCTTCTTGCAATGCCCATGGTTGATGTCTGCTGCTGTTCCATGGAACCCACAAAAGGGTTTTGTCATGTTTAGTCTGTTCCGCATGTGAGCCAAGGGAAAGAAGAAAGCGGACACTCTCTAGATCATTGGACTTCCATCTTCTCATCCACTGAAGCTACCCCTGAAAGATAAGAGAGCCGTACGCTGGATCATCATAGTCATGTTAAACATCCCGCTCACACACTGAGCTGATCATATTGTATACTCCAGGCTTCCAAATTCTGGCATCGAATTTGGAAGTATGAAATTGATTGGAGGGGATATTGGGGGAATCTCAGCACAAAGCAGAACCAGCAAAAAATCACACTGTCCTAGGCACGAGTTTTAGGCTCTTGCTGGCAATCAACAAAAAGCAGGACCACAAAACGACCAGAAGATGCCATTCGGCTGCTTCATTCCCCCCTCACGTTCTTTCAACGGGCCCCTTAAAATAGAAACACCATGGTTCGCAGCCCCCTAGAATTGCTCATTGGGCTTTGACCTTGGCACAACTTGAGGTTCCAAGAGTGAGGTTCCAAGAGTAAGGTCCTGACCTTTTTGTTTATTGGGTTGTCAAAGAAGTCCATCTATGCCCCCTACAAGAAACTCCCAGGCTTGGTTATAGATTGCAGGAAAATCTGACAAGTGAGGTATCAGGGGATCAACAAAGGGCGTTGTAAAGGAAACGGGGAAGCCCAATTCTACACATTTGAGATGAGTTTCGCACAAGGGTTTTACACCAAACTTGACGGTTCAAACAGTGACCAGACCCCTTTATCAAAAAAAATGACATGGTTTCTGGAGCTGTATATGGGAGTAACCTCTAATTTTCTCAATAACATGCAACTTTCTCAAAGCATGCAGAGGCTTTTAGGGGGGTAGGCCTGGAGGCTGTATAGTGAGAGTGTGGATTCTGTACCCCGACCGGTCCGCTTCCGGTCCGCAGCTCTCAACTCGATCTTCGCCTTTTCCCACCGACCCGAGAAAAAACGGAAAACCTCAGCAAAGCTGCAGCCACTGAAATGAGCATACAAGGAGGTTTTTGGGGGTTTGGTTCACCGAACCGTCCGGTGATCTCCGTCATCCGAACCCCGTCTCGCCGGATTTCCGCCCTCGCCCCGCCCTGGAGCCGAATTTTCTAAAAACGCGCGAGTCGGCCGCGCGGAGGGCTCAGCGGGAGGGCGAAGGGCACACCTGGCCCATCGGCCACGGAGACCAAAGTGAATTGGGTGTGTGTGTGAACTTTCAGACACTGCAATGACATGGCATCTTTATACCATACATTGGGATGGTTGGAGGATAATTAGCCGTGTAGGTCGGATATGGTTTCTCATTGACCTCATCAGGGCTGTCTGGATCGAATGCGTGATCTGCTTCCAAACGAAGGTTTTTTCAGGGGAACCATTCCGAAAGACCAGCACCACCCGATTGAAACGGTGGTTCTACATGGAAGGTTTAAGATCTCATCTGCCTCAGGTTGATCAACCACCCGAAATATCTTCTCCCTGGATTGAGAGACGTTTCTCTGATAGAGGCTACAGCTTCTCTCACCTGCGACCGTGTCACTCGCTTTCGTTGCCTTACCTGAGAACCCCCGCACACCGGGAAACCCCTTCCCGCAACGTTCGCCTCGGTCGCCGGTCGGCTAGTCGCCCTGAAAAGGTTTCGGAATCGGCTTTGAACTCACCAAAAACATATGAATGAGCCAATGGGATCCAATGGGTTCAATCACCCCAAGTAATAGGTTGACCAAATCCAATCTGAAACCACCCGACACGGCCTGACGCATCGATTTGAGCCCCCTGAAACCGCCCGACGCGGACGAAGTGTAGTAGAGTCTGAACTTGGATTCCCGGCTTAAAGAACGTGTCTTCTCGAAAAAGGACAGTTTGTAGGTCAAGCCACCAGTTTGCGCCCCCACGTGTTTGGCGTTTTTCGCAACTTCTGTAAAGCTAAGTTCCCTTTGGTCAGAAGACAAGCATGGCGTCGAGTCTTGCTTCTCCCTCAACCCCCCCACGGACCGTGCCAAGTGCACGCCTCGGTCTAGGCGGAGGAAACCTTGTTCCAAGTCTCCTGGGTGAGCTGGTGGGAGTTGTGTCGAGCTACATGCAGCATCCTGGCTGGGTAGTCTTATAAAGAAAACTGCTTTTGGTCTGCTCGATGAGTCAGTGGCAAATAAGAACTCGTCGGAGGACCAGTGCTGATTTCGCTCGGCTTGGATCCAAAGAATGCTTGACTTACAGATTCATACACCTTCCTAGGGGTTGTTCAAGCCCCTCAGAGCTCTACAGGCAAGCTGATTGGACGTTGTTGATTTGCAGGGGTCAAAGGTGGTGATGGTCTCTCTAATACAAACAAGTAATTAAATGGAGACAAAGTGAATTGACAAGTTCGTACATCAGGTTCATCTCTCTCGTCTCCCGGTGTATTTGTGCTGTCTCAACAGAACCTTCATGCATCCCTCGCTGCCATTGCTGGCTGGTCATTGATCGGCTTTTGTCCGTTTCAGCCAATGTGAGCACATGTGGATGCCAAGGCTTCCACCCCTGTGCCACACCGAGGCTTCCACCCCAAGGCTCCCCCCACCGACCACCGAGGTTTCTGGGACCGAGAGGCCCAGTGTGGCGCGTTCTGCTTCGAGAGCTTCGCCAACTTCTCCTTCACGGTCACGGTGCCTCAGGGGGGTTTGCCCCACCCATTCGCGATCGTCAGATGGGGATGTCCGGGATTTCCACGAAAGCCCGCTTCCCGAGGCGGCTCATCCGAGCTCATCCGAGCTGCTGGGGAAATTCTCTCCGAGGCTCCCAATTGACCACGTTCCGTACTTGTCCCTCGAGGTGACCCGGCTTCGTGGCTCGATTCACTTCGTGGCCGGTCGATTCTGGCTCGAAACCCGAACCTCCGAAACAGGACCAGAAACAGGTCGAAAGAGGCCCTCCCGCACCCAGGTTTCAGGTTTCAGGTGTGGAGGGGACCAAATCGGCCCAAACCCCCACCGTTTTGGGGTTCCCAAGTGCGATCGGTCCGGCATGCTGCAGCCCTGTGCCGCCCGTCAGTGCGAAGCCGAGAGGTCGTCTGAAAGCGAGGCTGAGTGGTATGGATGGTCAGAAATCCGATTCAAAACCCACCCCAGCTGAGTTCATTGACCAAACATATGGAAGATCTATAAGCTCAATTAACAATGACAATGAATGAAAATGACCTCTGCTGCAGATTTTGGGGATCGTGATTTTAGCCCTCACCAAAAAAGAAAATAAACTGCTGCTCTTTGGAAATTGGATCCTTGTGAAAGCTGCCGGAATCTCAAAGTTCTGAGAAAGAGCCGCGCCGCCCCAGGACAGAATTGTCCGAATGAAACGGGACATCTTCTCATGAATGAAGGCGTCCTCGGTCCTCAGAGCTCTGTTCATCTGATCGACCAAAACCTCCCTGTTCGACTCACGACTCATTCCCCTCTTAACAAATCTTAAAAGAACACATAGCGACGTAGCCTACACCCACTTGCGCAGGGTGCGACTCCCTGTTCTATTCATCACATCCTTCACCTCCCATTTGATGTGGCAACCATCGGCACCTCGCCAGGTCATCGGCATTCCTACGAGTCGGACGCGGATCGCACCTGCCGACTGCCTCGCAGAGACCACTGAGGGCTCCGACTGCCCGCAGGCTTTGCACGCTCCCAGGCCTCTTCCAAGCCTCATCTGAGGACAGACTGGAGAACACTGGAAGATCCTTCACCAGCCTGGAAGATCTTTCACCGATTCGCTGGTGCAAAGAATCAACAAACCCCCATCTTAGAAGTACGGGGCGACCAACCACGTCCTGCCAGCTGAGCGTGCCTTTCTCGTAATCATCAGGGTTCAGGAGGCCGAACATGGGATCCTGGCCAGCTGAGGGCAAGATCAGACATCACACCACCACCACCACCACCACCACCACCAACAACAACAACAACAACCGCAACCACGACCACGACCACGACCACGACCACGACCACGACGACCACGACCACGACCACGACCACGACCACAACAACACTACCACTACCACTACCACTACCACTACCACAACAACAACCACGGCAACAGCAACAGCAGCAGCAGCAGCAACAACAACAACAACAGCAGCAACCACCACCACCGCCATTCCACCAAATGGGGGCAAAGTGGTTATGCCACTGCTAGTAGTGCTCTAGCCCTGCATTTGCAGCACCGATGCCCAGTCATTGTGCCCACGGTTGAAGCGAATTAGCCCTCGTTGCCTGTCCTGAAGGCCAAAGAACAAACATAATTATCCACTTTCCTGGTCAGAACATATATATATATTTTTTTATTTAGGGATTCAAAAGTTGGTCAGGTGGGAGTAGCACAGCTCATAGAAATCATCGCTCGCTCACTCAGATTCTTTTCCAAGCTACTTGTTGGTTTGAAGGTTGAAGGCAACTGCGAGCGGCCAGATATTTCTCGCACTGTTAACACGGAATGTCTACCGCGTTAACATTCCTAGAAGCTGTGCCGGATATCCATGATGGAATACATCGACCAAAGCACCCTCTGGGGGTAGGAATACATCGAACCCGTGGATGTTCAGTTCCGATGCCTTGAAAAAACGCTCCCACTTCCGCGGAATTCCGGTCGCCTTGATGTCGGCGAACAAAGGATGCTCTCTCCAGGCCTTCTCCCTGAGGACCCAAACACCGGTTCACCAGCGGATCACCAGCGGTTCCACCAGAGGCATTCAAAATCAATTGTACTGGGCGCAGATCACATGGGAGTTAAGGCGTCAAGTGACTTGGGATTAATCGCAAGGGGGATAAGGCAAATGACTTGGGAATGTGTGAGTCGTTCCCATGTATGTTTTCTAAATCCCAAGTCATCCGAAGGTAGTATAGTTTTTTAGGGTCTCCTGCACAAAGCAAAATCCGGAACACCCAAAAGGGGTGTGCTGGCTGGAGATCAACCAGTAGCTTGGGGCCAGCTAGGACACTCTTTGGATGGTCTGAGTCCTGGTATGTGTATATATACACATATATCACATATGCTTGTGTATCCTGCAAGTATTGATCGAATGGACGTTGGATCGAGGCCGGATCGAAGATGCCTGCACATGGAGGTCTATATATATATATGTATATAGACACTAGCACGGCTAAAACACGGAGGATCCCCCACATGGTGCAGGATTCCTATGCCATCAACAGGTTTCATCGAGGAGGTCTTTAAGTCGTGTGGTCTAAATATGCTGTATTTCGATAGCGGACTCTTCCCTTCACAACCGAGGTCACGACATGTGCCTCGAGAATTTTGCTTCGGCAGTTCCATTGATCGAAGTCAAAGAAATAGTCAAACAAAATAATGAGTCAAACCTGTGCAAAACCAACCTTCCTTTGGAGGTGGTTCAAGGTCTCTGTCCAGAAAAGACCAAACATTGCGCTCAAAAGGGAATCTGTCAGGATCTGTCTCTTCCTAAGTCGTCCAAGCTGCGCTGCTTTGGCTTTGGGCGTGCCAGGGTTGGCAGGGGATCGCCAGAAGGCATCCTGGCAGAAAACGATGATTCAGATTTGCTTGGCTTTCATGGCTGCTTCCACAACTCTTCAGCACTATTGATCTGAGGCCATGTCCCAGGGGCTCAGAGGTGTGCCTGTGTCTGTGTGTGTGTGTGTCAAACTCTGTCTCTAAGGGACTCACACACTTCTAACAATCTGTCTCATTCCCCTTTAATTCAATGATTATCTTTGTACAGAATCAACGAAGCTACAGAAATCGCACGGGAAGTGAGAGCTGATCAGGGACCATGTGCCTGCTTGAGTTACAACGAATCCTGAAATGAGTTACACAATAGTGTTCAGCGGACCCTTTCACCTCTCCATTCCTCACAGGGTCTTTTTGTTCCGGGCAAGGTTTTGAGCGCTCCGGCGCAGTAATTACCTAGACTTAAAGTGCTAGCATCACTGGATCTTCACAACTGATTCTTGCTCTTGCGAGCTCTCTATCTAAATGTGTATTGAGCAAACGGCTCAGTGGGAGCACGTCCCCGTCCCACCAATCCACCAGGCTGGTCGACGTGATCAGCCGAGCTGCGCTGAGGACGAAGACCCAAATCTCAGGCCCAAAATGGTGGATCTCGCTGCTCTAGCAACGATTAGGTTGGGGTTCTCAGGGCTCTCCTAATCACCTCCCACGGCCCTCGGATGCCCTCGGTGTTCGGTTCCCCAATTCAACTTGCCTCGGTAAAGGAGTAGAGGACCTCGGTACTTGGGCAGGGCATCACGGCGCGTTCCGGTGCCTTGGACTCCCGTTCCCTCCCATCCGATCCAGCAGATCAACCTCCCTCACCAAAGCATGATAGGTTGACACCCCGCTCGAGGAATCGGTTCCTTTTGACCCACGGGTCGTGCCCCGTGTGCCGCGGGGTGTCCACCCACAGCCATCTCCAACAGATAGCTGTGCCCTGCTGTGCCATGCTGTTCCCGGAAGAGGCGGAGTTCTGAGGCACCGCCCCGAAGATCCGTGGGCTGAAAGAATTGAGAACTGATCTGATGAGGCACCACCCCTTCACTGACGACGAACACAAACACACGGATGGCCTGAATTCTGCTGGTGGATCTCCATAATGGAGTCTTTCTTTGCATTACTGGCATGTTACATCAACATAATCTGGACAAAATAAAACACCAATAAGCAAACACGGCATGCACGAGATAAAAGAAGCCCGGCAAGCCACTTAGCAGCAGGTCTCATGCATGTTGCATGCAGAGAAAACATGAGAAAACAAACGCCGATGGACGCTGATGGTCATCATCCGTTCAACATGAGTCTTTGACCACCTTGGGACCAACTCGGACTACACAACTTCCCCATCCTCCACCAGGACACCAGGAACACCACTTTCGATCGCGAAGACACTGACCACTCGGTTGATGTGTTGTTTCTTCGTGTCTTGGGTGCGAGTTCCGCGCACCTCTGACCACCACGGGGATCTCGGGCCCTCTCCCACCCTCACATCCCCCATCCGTGGTTGGACCCGTCTGCCGTCCCCGTCTGCCGTCCCGGTGGCAAAGACGCCAAAGGCGGTGATAGGGAAGACCAAGGTGGTCAACGGCACCAGGACGGCGGACCTGGGTCGAGACGTGCGGGTGGTTTCCCCACGTGGTCGAGACACAGACCGAGCTCCGCCTTGGCAGGTGGTTCTTTCTGTCGCGTTTAAACACCTATATAGCCTATATACTATACACGTCTATAACAATGTAAACCAAATAGACGTGGTTCATCGGTTTGGTTCGTTACAGTAGTTGGTCGGCCGTGGTGCCATCAATCACCAGCATTACCAACGGCTTCTGGGCCATCCTGCAGCAAAATACCTCTCAAATCAACTATAAGCATTCTCGCACAAAAGGAACTCAACAGAGTCTCTGTTTCATTCTGTTTCTAGCTTTTCAGCCTTGGATTGATTGTGACTGTCTACACACAAAACCACACACTTCTCCGGACCCACCCACACGTTTCGGGCCTTCCCGAAGGCGCCCCCTGCGCCCTGCTTCCGGAGTTCCAACTCCGGGCATCCCGGGCCACTTGCGGTTGTCACCATACTTGGCCTCAGCGTCCTCCGCCAGCATGGTGAGCGCCGGAAGGGCCGCGGAGGCCGCCTCGGCGGAGGAGGTTGGAAAGAACGGGGGGTTCCTTGGAAGAAGTTGTTTTCTTGTCTTCTTTTGTACCTTTGGAAGACGTTGCCGAAAAAGGTTCTACCCTTCCAGTTCAAAGAGAAAAACAGGTTGCCAGCGAGTGGGGTTCCCCACAACACCCTCCGTGTTTAGAGACGGCGAGTAGTCGACTGTCATCCAGAACGGAGAAAGGGTGACAAGAACAAAGTGGGCGGGTTGTGGGCTGCAGAACTCCGCACTTCGTTCGCAATGTGGGCTGGGTGTGGAGACCGACACCAGGTGTGGTGACGTTTCTTTTTTGAGAAACAGACCGTCAACCCAGCCAGGGCCAGGAGGTCTCTGTCTGGGTATTGGAGACTCCAGGGCAACCTGCGTGTCACTCGAAGTTTGAACGTCGAGAGAGTTCGCCAATTTGTTGGTTGTCCAGGTCTCAGCTCTCACAGCAAACAAATGCAAACAGCACTTCTTCAGTTCACATTCCACCTTCCTGCGTGGTGATGGCGCAGCTAAGCACGAAGCCACCGCCGGATTGAAGTCTACGCCCGACTTGGCCTCAAAAGAACGAAGACATCGTACTCACGGTTGGTCGGGAGAGTGTGCGGAAGAACGAACAAAGGAAGGGCGTAGAAGTGATCCTGGAAGCCAGGGGTCCAGGGGTCTTGTTCTGTTTCAGCCTAACTTAGACGAACCCCCCAAGTGCTGGTGCCGGGTCCCCAGCAGATATTGTTTAACAGGATCCAGGATCCATTCTAGCGGTCTAGTATAGGAGTATCCAAATCCAAATGCTTCAGTCTGCATTCACAAGCTAACGTTCCATCAATTCTACATTGAATCATATACATGTTGAGTCCATCCAAGCATACGCATAAGTCTCGACGGACTTGTTGATCTTATGAGTTAATGGTTTTCTATGGCTTTCTTCGACAAATGATGCGGGAACCACCACCGCCATCATAGCCATCGCTCATTGTCTCTGGGTCAAGGTCGTCAAAAGCGGGGCCCCAGGGTTGTTGTAGCGGGTCTGCTCCAAAGACATGGAACCCTAGCGAGTGGCCGCGGGGTTCAGCTCAATGTTAGTTAGAGGTATCTGTAGGCTTTGACCTACACCTCCTCTCTACTCTCATCTCTCGAGCACTTCCAGCGCCAGCCTTTGGAAGCTGCTCAGGGCTGGCCAAGAAGCAATATCTGAGTCCTGATCGTGCGACCCGCAACCCCGAACTGTCTCCTGACCTGCCGTCGTTGGGACCCTAATTGTATAGACGTATAAATACTAAGAGGGTGGTAACACTCAGAGGGTCTGCCTAGAAATTAAGGAGACCTTCCAGGCAACCAGCCCCCTGGGTTTGAAAGGAAGATAGTATAGCCATGGGTTGGAGGTCTTGGTCTCCGTGTTGCACACCGAAAGAAGTCCAAGACACCCTTCCACGGCAGGCCAAGACACACCCCTCCGGACCCGGTGAACCGGTGACCAGTGGCCCCGAGTCTTGGGGAATACTGAATATAGGTAGGTTGAGACACTCCTGTTCAATGATGTTCAATTAGGGACCAATTGGGAAGAAGGCGATCTTTTTTTTCTCCCTGGCTGTCGTAAAAATCGACGAGCCACTCATGCAGCCATCAGCTATTTCCACCCACCCATTCTAGCTCCGATTGGCCACCTACAAGCGATTCGACTGCAGCGGGGGACCATTTGATACACTGGTGGGAAGTCTCTTGCAAGGGCCTTGCTCTGACCGAAACAGGCTGAAATCTGATGCGACATGCCATCATGCCATCATGCCATGCCGTTACTGATGCACACCAAGACCATTCCCTTAACAAAAAGGCTCCCAACTGGAGCTCCTTCCGTTCTTTGAGCCTGTTCGCCCAGTTCACCACACCTGAGTCGCCCTCACCCAGTGGTGGGACACCTCCGCGCCACGAAAACACCGCCCAGTGGGTCACCCGCCAGACCTAGGAGCGCAGCCGCGGCCAGCAAAATCAGGTGTCCTGGCGCCACTGGGCGCGGCACTGTGGATCATCGGAAGCAGAACACGCGTGGACCACGCTGAGGCGTGAAGCGTTCGGGGGGATGGAGGTCGGCCGAAAGTGGTCCGGAGTTCTGCGTGGTTGGGAGTGAATGACTGCCAATTCCTTCGGTGTGAAACCAGGGCCCTTGGAGTCTCGCGCATGAAATGGGATGAAGAGACCCTGGTGCGGCATGTGATTCCATGAAAGAAAACAGAGATGGCCTAAGCATCCACAGGTGACGAAGTTCATTCACCGAGATCGATGTGGCATGATGAGGCCCTGGGGCTGCCCAAAAACCCTCTTTTGGAAACAATGAGATCTCTAATGAGTTGAGTTTCGATCCCTGATGATCTCTGATGATCGCTCATGGATCGCTCCTGTTTTTTCTCTCAAAAGCACATCGCTCCTTGAAAAACACCGACCCACAAACCCACAAACCTCCGCACGGTTTTGTAGGTTTGACCACGGGCTCCGTCCACGTGGACAGCTCGGGAAAGAGTCACTCTGAGTGATGGGGACCGACAACTGGTTGACAGCGAAAAAAAAAGAAGAATGCTTCGCGGGTGAGCATGTGGGTCAAAACCTGGAGCCCCAAAATGTGGGAGGCTGATCATGGCTGATCTCTCCCCCACCCCAGTTCCGTCGGAAGTCTAGCCTCTGCTCCACCCGGGCCAAAGTCGTCCGGTCCGATGACCAATAAGAAAGTCGAAGCGACGTCCACAGTGACCATGTTCTGTTCAGAATCAACTCTTCTCGTCACATGGGGATGATCGTTTCAGCTAGCACTCGCCCATCTGCCCAGGTTTCATCCGTTTTCTTCCGTGCAAAGAGATCAGAATCCCAGCTAATTGTCCGCTCCCCACACAGTCATTGGCGAAAACAAAACCAGGACATGTCACCTGGGGAAATCCCATCAAAACCAACCAAACCAAACCAAACCAGCAATATATGGGTGAAAAATCCTGGGTTTGCAGAGCTCTTGTCTTGGGGTCTTCCTCAGAAAAATGGGAGCAGGGATTATAGACACCCACAGCTGGTCCGCATCCCTGGTGGAGCGCCAGCCTAGGGGAACCCAAACACTCAATGCCAGGCTCAAAGCTGTTTTCACTACAGTCACGGTCGAAGTCTTTTATTTTTGGTATGCATAATTCCCCATATCAAGTGTTGAGACCGACTCGGCTTTGGTTTGAGTTTGAATCTCCAAATCAATTGTCTATTGCTGTGCTCCTGGTCGAGCCATGATCTCCTGGTCGAGCCCAGAGGTTGGAGTCCAGCGCCGGTCCACGCAAAGGAGTTGGACACGATCCACATGTGGAAAGGGACAATGGGTTCTTGGAAGACTCTTGGAACTCTACAATCGGGGGGGCCATTCCCTTCCATTCTCGTTAGAAACGGGGTAAACGATGGCCTACAAGAGACTTTCAGATTTCGGATAGACGACCCAGGGTGGATGATTCTGTTCTGCTCTAGGTTGTGCACTCCCGCAATTGACCTGATCCCGAGAACAACTCAACAACCGCCCACCAGAGAGCATTGAAGAAAGGATGTGGGAGATGGGACAAAAGTGGTATTCTGTCAACCTGGAGATACCTTATCTGGTAAATCATTCGGTGTTTTCACAATTCTACAATTCAATGATATTCAATGGATGTTCAGGTATACTGGCCCAACATCACTCGGCTTTGGAGATGCCAAGATCACTGAGATCTTGGTATTTCGGTACTTGAATATCTCCTGGGTTCTGGGCTCATGAGTCATTTTTAGGCCCCATGTTTTTCCGCTCAGGTCGACCGCTTTTTGGCGTGGCCGAGATAAATAAATAAATATATATATATATATTTATGTAGTTTGGCGTAACTGGGATTCTATAGAGGTATATATAAAAACCGTGTGTTCTCTCGGCAAAATGGGATTGAAAGCTATAGATTTCACGCTGTCTCTCGCTGTACCCAAGGTCAAGAACCGTCAGATCAAATTGGCGGCCAGAACTGATTGCAAGAATTGATGTGAACAAATACATACAAATACCAGACCTCAGAGAATCGGTTCTCCAGAGAACCTGTCGGTCTGTGACCAACTGAGCCGCCCTGCGAAAAAGAGTGGTTCGAAGCTCAGCGGGACGCTGGAGCGGGACGCTGGCTCGGGCCCAAGACACTGGCTGCGGATCCACGGCGGCACGGGGTGGGGCGAGAGAGGCTCCGCTCCGAATTGCAGGAATTGCAGCGAAATTGGCACGAAACGAGATCACCTGGGATCCTCCCCAGATGCCTGGGTGGATCTGGGTCTCCTGGTCTTTCGCTTTGGGTGTCCAAACACGGCGGATCAAGCCAAAGGCGCACAGAAAGGTACAATCTGCAGTTGACAAAAATTCAGTTGAGATGCTGGGACGGAATAATACACCATTGCATCGAAACTGTCACCGAAAGGTACAATTCACAACTGGCACGCAATTTTCGTCCGAGCATGGTCCGGCCGCTGAAAAGCCCCTTTCTAGACGACGGGAGCAGTGGTGTTCAAGGACTTCCTGGCAATCTTCGACCACTCATTGGGCATGTCACAAAAGCCGTCACACATCGTTTGTCCGAAAGAATAGTGATGCTCAATGATGCTTTCTACTGACACATCACAAAAAAAAAATCAAAAAACAAGTCTTCTTATCAAAGCTGCTCAGCTTCGAAGATCGTGAAGTTTCAAAATAGAACACCCGGTGGACATCTTCTCCTGGTGGGCCCCCACAACGGCTATGCACAAGGTTAGCTCAGCCAGGGAAGATCATGGCCCAGTTCCAAACTAAACTGGGAGAGGCAAAACCCCTCTTGGGGGATGCTCTCACATAAATACAATCCTTCTCCAATGCATGACTCATGAGTCAGAAAATACATTCAAACGTCTTCCGGGCTCACTTTTGGATTGGACTTCGCCGACTTCGCATTGTTGATCTGACCATTTGCGATATCCATATCCTCTAGTGCTTGGCAGGGCTTGCCGATGACTACTTCCTGGTTAGCATCAGTGCTCTTGTTATAGGCACGCTTGTTTCTGCTGAAGAGCCACTGGCTCACCATGAGGAAGATAAAGCCAAAGCAAGCACTGCAAATGGCTACAGCACAAAGCAAAAGCCAAAAGCCTGCTTCTACTTGGGCTTCTTGCCACCAGCTGATTGGCATGACTGGGCAACTGCTTTCATCGAAGTTGTCATTGGCTGCGAACACGGAGAGGGCTCCTGAAACCGCTTCCACTGTCAGTTTCAACGGAGCAGCTTCTACACTGCCACAAGCCATCAAAGCATAGTGCCAATCCCTCATCGCAGTCTTCTGGTAGATGTTGATCGTAAAGGCTTTTTCGACATTCGGAGGGATTCTCTTGTACCATGTCATTTCGTGCAAGTCGTATGCATCAGTTGCAACTCGAAGCTTGCCTTCGCAACCAGCAGTCTCCCATTCCTGCTGAGCCACCCCCCAATAGTCCTTTCGCCCATCGAAGGCGACCAAGTACACCTTCGTGGATAGATCTAGAGGTGCTTCACCCTGCCAGAGCATTCGCACAACAAGCTGTGCGACCAGCGCTGGTGCTTGCTCATTCCGGCCAAAGCAAAAGCCCCCCAGGTGCCACCACTGGTCCTTTTTAAGCACCATTTCTGCCTCCAAGGCGGGAGAGACCACGTTGAATGAAGCCGCAGCCAAGTGGAAAGCAGAAGCCAACAGAAGTTGGAAGAGCGCCATGCTTCCTAAGAAGTTGAAACAGAGACAAGGCTGGACAGCGCACACGCGCTGCAACCTGTCGGTCTGTCGCCTTCAAGCTTTCCCCTGTTCGAGCCCCTGGAATATCCTGGAATGGTGCATCCAGTGGGTACCATGCGGGTATGTTTCAAGGGACGCCCAGCTAATGGGCGTGATTCTATGTTTTTTCGTCGCCAGGTGAAGCTCACCAGCGGCGTCTTCCGAACTGCAAGTGAAGCCACAGACGGGATTGGACGAAATCACAACAGCATCAGAGACCCATGGGCAATGGCATTGCCATTGCATTCTCTGCCCATTACATTCTGTGGACGACATCTGCTGCAAGAAAGATACGTGTCATTTCACTGAGAGACATCCGTCGTTTCTCCGAATTCATGTCCGACGTTGCGTGGAGACAACATGTCCGACGTTGCGAGTGCCTTTTGACCTTCACAGCACGGATACGCGCCACAAAAACCAGTTGCTGCCCTGTGACAGCCAGCTGAAATCTGCCGAGGTAAGGGCCATGTTATTCTGCGCTCTTCAAACCAAAGCTACCGTCGGATAATACTCCTGAAGCCTGTGAAAATGGACCTGTGCCAGTGAGTTCTCCTTTTACGAGCGCTTTTGGGGATCCATGCTACTCTGCAGAGCTGTACAACCAACAAGACTTTGGTATTCTTCGCCGTTGACCTGAAAAAACGAACCAGTACTGCTCAAACTGCTGCAAACTGCCGTGTTTTCACGGAAACCGCCCTTGCCCTGACTCTGATCCCCGCCCTTGTTGGGTCAGGGCACGCTCGGGGAGCGCCACGAGCGGCACGTTCATGTATCTCGGTGCAATCCACCTGACCAAGCTTGGTCAAGCGTTTCGGAGCGTCCACTGCAAACCCTTCGTATTTGCAACACAACCGCAGCCAGGGGCAAAAAGAACCCAAACAAGCTCACACATCCAAAAGTTATCAAAATGTGGTTCACACGCTGAGGCTACACTGGGGCTACAGGTTACAGGTGTTGCTCAGCAGTTTTTGCACTTGGTCCCTGTCAAAGTTTGGTGTTGGTGGACAGGACCCCCTTTCGTGTTGTTGGCAGGTCTAGCATGTGGTAAGGTTCTTAGAGATGTGATTCCACAAAGTTTTTCCAATGGCATCGACTCACGTCAGCGCTTTACTGTGTCGCTCGGCTAACTACGGTGGCCAACCATGCGTCTGCGTTTAAACCCCTAAAAAATCTGCATATTTCATATGGGAGCCCAAAATGTGTCGATGATATTGATGTCTGTGTCGCAAATAAAGTCACTGCATGTCACTGCAATTGTTGGTGCGTGGTGTTTGTGTTTGTGCTGGCGCTAGTGTTCTTGTTGTTGTTGTTGTTGTCGTTGTTGTTGTTGTTCGTAGAAACAACAGCCGCCCAACATAGTTGTCACATGTTGTAACTCTGGAACTTCAAGGGAACAAGGACAGGGATAAGATATGAAGGTTTGAGGGAACATTGGTTTCGTTTTCCGTAGCTGGACTTCTTGCGCTGGACACGTTGAACAACTGTTTTCATTGCTTTGTTTTTGGCTTTTGGAACGGGTCACCAAACAACGGGACGGAGCTGCAGTCGCTCAGGCAACGACGAGACCAAAGGAACGAAGCCAAGACCAAAGGAACGACCAGCGTGTGAAGAGGTGAAGCAAAGGTGAACCAACGACAAGCCTGCTGTGACTTCTGGGTCAAAACAAAGGATCTCAGGTGTGTGTTTGTGTGTGTTGCAGCTTAAGCTGGGGATGAATCATTGAATTGCCTCTTTATATTTACTCAGATTGGACCCACAGTTGGTGGAAATTGGAAAGCAAGATGCTATAAATTTCCGCAATCACCAAATTCCTATAGGCTCTGCAATGAACTCGAGCTCCGCGCGTGCTTCGTGTCTCCGCCGCGTGCTGCGTCTCCCGCCACGTCCTCCGGCGCCTTTCTTTTTCTTGGAACGGAGACGATCTGCGCGTCTCGCATCAGGCTGGACCCATGGCACACGGCGATTCTCCGTCGTGCCAGTGCAGGTCAACACGATGATTTTAATTCAAAGCCTCTTTGATAGCTTGATGTCTTCTCATCCCAGTGCCCAGCAACGGCTATGCCCTACACAAGCTAAGCGCGCCTGGGAGAAGATCATTCAAAGGCTTGCATCGTGCAAAACTGAATGAACTACAGTAAGTGACACAGCACTCCTCTAGGGAGATGCTTGTGTCTCTTTTTTCAGAAGAACATGCAATCTTCTATGTTTGGGCATGTTGGCACATGGCCCATGCCTCAGAAAATGCATTCAAACGTCTTCCGGGCTCACTTTTGGATTGGACTTCACATTCTCGGTGTTGATCTGACCGTTTGCGATATCCATATCCCCGTCTAGCGCTTGGCAAGGCTTGCCGATGACTACCTCCTGGTTGGCATCAGTGCTCTCTTTATAGGCACGCTTGTTTCTGCTGAAGAGCCACTGGCTCACCATGAGGAAGATAAAGCCAAAGCAAGCACTACAAATGGCTACAGCACAAAGCAAAAGCCAAAAGCCTGCTTCTACTTGGGCTTCTTGCCACCAGCTGATTGGCATGACTGGGCAACTGCTTTCATCGAAGTTGTCATTGGCTGCGAACACGGAGAGGGCTCCTGAAACTGCTTCCAATGTCAGTTTCAACGGAGCAGCTTCTACACTGCCACAAGCCATTACAGCATAGTGCCAATCCCTCATCGCAGTCTTCTGTCGAATGTTGATGGCAAAGCCTTTTTCGACATTTGGCGGGAGGACCTTTTGGAAGAAGGGCTCATGCAGCTCAATTGCATCAGTTGCAACTTGTAGCTTTCTTTCGCAGCCAGCAGTCTCCCACTCCTGCTGGGCCACTCCCCAATAGTCCTTTCGACCGTCAAAGGCGACCAGGTACACCTTGGTGGAGGCGTCCAGTGGCCTTTCACCCTGCCACTGGACTCGCGCAACAAGCCTGGCTACAGGTGCTCCATCATCCCGACCAAAGCAAAAGCCCCCCAGGTGCCACCACTGGTCCTTTTTAAGCACCATTTCTGCCTCCAAGGCGGGAGAGACCACATTGAATGAAGCCGCAGCCAAGTGGAAAGCAGAAGCCAACAGAAGTTGGAAGAGCGCCATGCGTCCTAAGAAGTTGAAACAAAGACAAGGCTGGACAGCGCACCACGGGCTGCAACCTGTCGGTCTGTCGCCTTCAAGCTTTCCCTGGTTCGAGCCCCTGTCAGTCTGGCACATCAAGCTCTTGTGTGTTCGGCGTGGGTTTTGTCACCCCCAAAGCCTTGATGGGAAACAAAGTGCAAAAAAATAAAGAAACTGGCTCTGAGACACCCCTGTGAATTCACTGGAAATTCCACTGAATCAAGCTGCCGCTGCCCGCGCAAAGGTCGGACAGCAATTGGGCAAAGGCAGTCTGGCCTGCTTCGAAAAGCAAGTAAGTGAAGCAAAACACGATGAGAAAACTGCGTCGGTGAACTACGATGACACGGGTCCATCTCCGAAACAAACGGGTGGGATCCGCACATCTTGACAGCATGACTGCACAACATGACTCAGCATGACTGTTTCGATACCACCTCTGACAGCATCGCAGTTCAATTGCATCAACTTGCGATGGTTTCAACCAGCTGTTTCAACAGGTCACCCAGCAGTTCAACTCTAGTCTCAGAAAGAAGCGCTCAAAACAAAGGATCTCAGGTGTGTGTTTGTGTGTGTTGCAGCTTAAGCTGGGGATGAATCATTGAATTGCCTCTTTATATTTACTCAGGTTGGACCCACAGTTGGTGGAAATTGGAAAGCAAGATGCTATAAATTTCCGCAATCACCAAATTCCTATAGGCTCTGCAATGAACTCGAGCTCCGAGCTCATCGTGGTCTCCGCGCGTGCTGCGTCTCCCGCCACGTCCTCCGGCGCCTTCCTCTTTTTTTGGAACGGAGACGATCTGCGCGTCAGGCTGGACCCATGGCACACGGCGATTCTCCGTCGTGCCAGTCCCGGACCCTTAAGCCGGGGTAGAGTCCACGAAAGCCGGGGGCGATGTGCCGCGTCTGTGGGGGAGGGACGGACGAAATAATCAAAATGAATCTGCGGATCTTGAAACAGGACGCACAAAACGAGAAGTGTACACTAGGTGCACTGGACCACAGGCCGAAACGCCTGAACATTTGGCTCAAGTGAAAAGAAGCGCTTTCCGTGAATGGGTTATGAGCCCAAGCGGTTCTGAGGTGCCATGACATCCATGTTGAGCCGGCGACGATCCGCGTCCAAGGAGAGGCAACAAACAGCCGATGAAAGGCTGGATGAATTGCTGGCCCAGCAAACGCCAGCGAGACGCACCCAGAGCGCGGAACCAAGCGCGAGGAGATCGGCACTGGTGAAGAGCACAAGGCAGACTGCAACCGAGGGGACACCAGCGGGGGCAAGGACAGAGCCTCGAGCAGCGGGAACGGATGGGGGCCAGCTTCAGTTGGAACCACCGCCGGGTAGCCGTGGATGTGATGCAGGGTCAGCTTCGAGACCAACTACCTGGCGGGCGGTGTTGCAAGGCCCATATTTGCAGGGCTATCCGGCGGTCTTCCATCCGGGCCGACAGAGGTTTCAGGTCAATTACTCATCTTCCCAGGACGTCGCGAACGTGAAGGAGGACACTTGGTAGAAGTGGCTCCGACTTCAAGAGCGGCACTATCTGCGGGTGAACAAGACCGCCAACGTGGGGGACCTGAGCCTGAGCAAGCTCTTCGTCCTTGCCGTGTTCCGGACCCCGTTCCTGAACAATGTGAAGGTCAACATGGACGTGAATTGGTGGCTTCAGGTGCTATGTCGAGGCAGCAATCGCCTCACATCAACCCTTGGTCTGCCGAGAAGATCAAGCAGTCGATGAACCAAAGAAGCTGGGGAGACTGTTGAACTAGTGATGCCGAGCAGCGTTTTGCTGATGGTGTTTGACAGCTGCTGGGAGGTGGCAATCCGCCCTCTGACGCTTCGTTCAAGTCGGCCGCGGAGATCGGTGGCGCAACACAAGGGGATGGGAAGCAGCAGGTGCCAGAATCTGGGGGGCCACGGCAACCTCCAGGTAATGGAACACAGGCAGCCCCGACCTCATCGATGACTACAAGTGGTGTTTCTTGTTCTGGACCCGTACAAGTACCTGGCCGTATCCCATGGAGCTGGTCTAGCTGGTGGTGTTCCCATGCATTATGGCAGCAGCGAGGAGCCGGTAAATGAGGCTTTTCCAGCGTGCAAGTGCCCCTCCTTCCTCCGGACGCCAATGCACTGTCCTTCGGTGATTGGCTGGCCACGATTCAGCGGACATGAGCATGTCGGCGGAGGAATGATGGAGCGTGACCTTGGAGGGGCTCTACTCTCAATGGTTGGTTTCAGATCCCCTTCAGCGTCTTCGTTTGGACACTGGCACTTCTTCGGCAGCTACAAGGTGGCCAAGGACCGACAATAAAATGACCAGTGCTGCAGGCGGTGCCCGACAACATCAAGGCGGAAGCCGCGGCGGCTTGGAAGTTGAGCGTGACGCACTTGCTGTTCACGCTGTTCGTCAAGTTTCAACCTGGCGGGCAAGGTGAAAGGGTCACTTTGATCCGGTTTTTGACGGAGCTCAAAACTATGGGCTCTATGGTGGAAATTGCGCAGAACCTGCGTCAGTGGCGGAGATGGTGGAATCGAGCTCAGGAGTTGGCGGTGATGTTGCCAGACCCTGTCATCCTGGCCGGTGTTTTGACCCAAGCTTCGGACGCCATTGCCAAGTCTGGTGCACAAGCTGCTACCGGTTGTCGGTGCGCAGGCAACAGTTGCAGATTGATACAAGACCCAACTTGGACTCCATCAAGACCTTTGCAGAGCTGCTGCAGGCCGAGACCGAAGAGCACGCGCTGAGAGCTGAAGGAGTTGGGGGAGCGGGAAAAACGACCGTTCCGTTTGTGAAGGCAGCAGCTTTGGGGACTTCGTCAACGACGGCGACTTCGGCGATGGTGAATGCGCAGGAGTCCAAGGCGGCTGGGGTGGAGTCCAAGGGTGACTGCTGCTTTTGGTTGTCTGAAAAATCAATGCAAGCTCAAGCATTCCAACCTCAGCCCAAAAGAAGATCGGTGCTTCTTCTGTTCCGGCCTCAATCACACGCGGCGTGACTTTCCGCGTGTGAAAAAGGAGTTCGGGAAGGAGGAGAATGTCAAGGTGGCCAAGGTGCAAGGGGGTGACTCACAGCCTTCCGCCGGAGAAGGAGCCACCTACTACCAAGGGTGAGGAAGCCACCGGAGGTCTGGCGAGGCTGAAGCCGGTTCCGGATCTAGGGGGGCTCAACACAAGACAAGTCCGACTACATCGAAAATTTGGTGGGCGAAGCGTCGGCTTTGCTGAAGTCACTGAGGAGTGCCAAGGTCAAGGCCCGGCCATCAAGGTCAAGTTCATGGACGCCGGTGAGGGCCTTGACACGGGTTCCGCATTGGGGCATCTAAGTATTGGACGGGGTCGCAACACAGGCACTTCGACAAGCTCGACCTGGTGAGCTTAAACAAGCTGAACGAGTACATGTGGAGTTGGCCCATGGCTCACAATCACGTTGCATCAGGACCCGGTTATACGGGTACATTGTTGTCGGCCGAGGCCCTTGAGCCCATTGTGCCAGTGCGGGGCTTGATTGAGTTGGGATACAAGATGGCGTGGTCCCGAACATGGAGGGGGAGCTGCTGACGTGGTGGAGCCAACGCTTTCCTGAAGTTCGCTCAAGGGTCTTCCGGTACATGACAGAGGAGCACGATTTTGGTGGTGGTGCCCGTCCATGGGATCGACGATAACGACAACGTTTGTTGTCGGCTGAACGTATGGTCCTACATCTCTTCGCGGGTGAGAAGGCGGAGGAGTGGGAAGAGCTCAAGAAGTATGACTGCGAGGTCATCACCCTGGACATCACAACAAGTCGCAGGACCTGCGCAAAACCCGGTCCTGTGAGGCTTTTTGGTAGGCAGGGCACGCATCATCGGAGGACCTCCATGCAGAACAGTATCTTGGTTGCGTTTCCGACAACCTGGTCCAAGACCACTTCGAGATCGGGGAGCACACCGATTTGGGTTGCCCAACCTCAGCATTGCGGAGCAGCGTCTTGCTGATCATGATGCTGCATTGGTTCTCAAACAGGTTGGACTGCACTATGCCACGGAGGGGGCCAAGGTGGATTTGGGTGGACGAAAGCTTTTAGAATCTGGGGATGACGGACGAATGCCCTCTTTCTGGAGTTGGCCGGAGGAATTGGGTTTGTTGGAGGAGGAGTCCGCCATGGGAATGGTCACACTGCATCAAGCTCCCGTGGGGCACGAAAAGAAGAAACCTACATCGCTGCTCACCAACGTATATGGGGGAAACTACATGGTCTCCGAGCTCGAGGAGATGATGATCCCCATTCTCGATGATCTACAAGCCCGCATCCAAGCATCCAAGTCCTGGTCATTGTGGGCCCCGGGATTGAGGGCAGCTATCAAAGAGTCCCCATGCGGTGTTTGCTGGAGCAGGGAGAAAAACAACAAAGGAAGATAGCCAAGCTATCTCAAAAAGAGAAGGGTATGTGGGCAGCACACTTTCGCCAAGGTCATCGACCATTCCGCAGAGATTGCAGGTTGTGCGTCGAACAGGCGGGATCGCAGAAGCCTCATCGACGTCGGGGGGACACTCAGAGAATGTCATCGGCGTGGTCTATGGCGGTGGTCATTGTGGGCCCATTGTCTATGACGCGGGATGGGGCTTCAGGTAAGGTCGTCCGCTATGCTATGCTCGCGGTGGCATTGGTTCCGGACTTCAACGCGGTGGCGGAGGAAGAGGTGGCAGAGGATCAACATGATGAAGCAGCCCCAACATTGAAGGAGAACCCAGAGGACGAGGAGGAGCAGGACATCATGGATCCGGTCCACGACTATGACTTTGGGGCGGAGCTTCAGAAATGCCAGGCAGTCATGCCTGGCCCTGTCTACTGCTGAAGCTGAACTATACTCTCCTACGTGTCCTACGTGGAGGCCTTGACGATCGCTGCAGGCGCTGTGGACGGAAGTGCATCGTGAGACGCCGGAGATCGTCACCATCTCCATTGTGCGCAACCCGGATGGACCATGGCGGACGCGGCATCTTCGACTCAGGCCAAATGCGCTTCAACGGGAACGTGCTCAACAAGGCCGATGGCGGATCTTCCACATGGCGGGCACTCAGCTAATCGCCGACTACCTGACCAAGAACATGGTTCAAGCTTCCTGGGACTGAAGATCGAGGACAAGGAGGTGATGGAGACCGATGAGGGGGCGGGCCAACAGGCGGCAGCGGAATCCATGGTGCGGGTGGCGAAGCAGCTTGCGGGATGCGCGGCTATGACATGGCCTTCATAAGTACGGCAAGGGCAGCTGTGGCGGCTGGCGATTGGGGTCTTTGGACGGGGAGTCAAGATCCGGGGGGGTGTTCAAACTTGTCAGATAGGGAAATTCAACATGAATTGAGATCTACTGAAGACTCCATCCGGTTGCAACCGCGTTTGTGTGCCCTGCGGCGATCGCCGGCAAGGGAAACAGACCAGTCAGGGTCGAATCAACGGACCAGCCAAGAAAACATAAGAAATGAACAAGAGGCCGGAAACACATCGGCGTTGGGCCGCACGCAAAGCTCTTGGGATGTCATCTCGGAAGTAGACACCCTTATAAGGGATCCTAACAGTAGCCTAGAGGCTCCCAACTCCGCCGTTTTCGAGGCGGAGGCGTCCAGCGCAAGCCATGGCGTGTGGGGGCGCATTCAGACGCGGCTTCCGGCGGCCTTTCAGGGAGGTCGTGAATGGCTTGGACGTGGACACCACGAAGAAGTGCGCTACACCACCTCGCAGGTGACACAGGCAGGCGGCTATGGGTGAGGGCACATTTGATGTGACAAGGCCGCCTATGGTGGTTACAAGTGAAGGCATGAGGCTGCTACGCCTGGAGGAGGTGGATATGGAGACTCAAACAATCCGCCTCATTCTCAATGACCGCCTGG